ATTCATTTAACAAATAAATGGTTGTTGACACGCTTTGCCCTTTGACAGTACTGGAGAGAACCACTCAGCAAACCTCATGCTTTACCCTCAAGGAGCTGATGTTCTACCGGGAAAGAAGACAAGTAACTAGAAAATGAAAATGGTTATCAATGTGATAAGCCTTACTGAGGGGTACCCAGAAGCACCTGACCTTACCTCAGAGGATGTGGGACAAACCTTCACAAAGTTCCAGCACTTCATTCAAGACCAGAGGGACCAGTAGGTGTTAACTGAGTAAAAAGAGGGAGAAAGGAATAAGGCACAGGCATGAGAAGTGTTTTCTAGGCAGATACAATGGCAGAGGACACAGACTACAGGGACTTGAACAGGAATTGGAGAACAAGCAGACAGACAGTAAGGAAGGGCAAGAAACCAGGACTGAGAGATCCCAAAGAGCCTTATGAGTCACATTCAGTTTGGATTTTAATCTTAGGACAATGTTGATCTTTAGCAAAAGGAGGGTTAGGTTTGCACTTCTCCAAAGCAGGATAATAAGATCCTCAAACCATATTATTTTAAATGCACCCTTTAAAATGTTCTGATAGACTCTTTACCCATGCACATAGCATACTAGCCGGAATGAGAGCGTGCATGTAATTCGTAAATATGTGCATATTTGGGAGCGTAGAGGTGATCGCTCAATAAAGGTCACTCTGTCTGCATGGAACCAGGATTGGAAGACAGCAAGGGTGGAGGTGAGGAGGCTAGTCAGGAGGCTCTTTCACAGACTGGAGCGGAAATGAAAGTGACAGGGACCTGAGTAACTGCGTGAGGGTAGGAAGTGGCCAATTACGAAGCAGACCATCATCGTCACTCCGTGTTTGTGTGTGAGATAGTTCATCGGAAGCCCCCAGCACTCCCCATTCCAGGGGATGAATCAGAAGTAAAAAGAACACTGAGAATCAAAAGAGCCAAGCAGCCTTAGGTCTTGATTTGCTCAGTTACTGTGAGCGTTCTGGTCTGTGTTGCTGTTGCTCTAACTGGATACGACAGGTATGGGTAACTTGTAAGAATAAAGGTTATTCAGTTCTCGAGTCTGGAGCTCCAAGATCGAGGGGCTGCATCTGGTCAAGGACTTTGCTGGTGGGTGCTCTCTGCAAAGTCCCAAGGCAGCGTAGGGCATCGTATGGTGACAGCATGAGAGCTTGTGTCCTCTGCAGTCTCTTGGTCTCTTTTTATAAAGTCACCAGTCTTCAGTTTTGGGGGTCTCACTCTGCTAACCTTAGCTTATCTAATCCTAATTACCTTTCAAGAACCCCACCTCTTATTACTGCAGTTAGATTAAGTTTCCACTCTCTGCTCCCCGCCCCCCCCCCTTTTTTTTTAAGTTTTTTCCATAGGGTGAGTGCACTTGCTAGAGAAAGACAGAGAGGAAGAGAGAAAAAGTGAGAAATAACCCTGCTGGAGGGTGACTGCACTGCAACCCCTTTTCCTCCATTCTCTTGGGATCTGGGGCATGTACATGGGCCCAGTGTGATTTTCAAGCTGCTGGGTCCAAGGCTCAAACCGTGGTTGGTCATATGGGAATCCAGTGCCTTAACCACCACACCACCTGCTGCCCCAAGTTTCTGCTCTCTTAATATTATCGTAATAGCAACCAGGTTTCAATACACACATTTTGTGGACATATTCAAGACATGGCAATGAGATTTCGGTCATCATTTGCTTTCTGACGCTTTGTTTCCTCCACCATCAAAATGGTGGATGTGGGCCCTCCGTACCTCCTGTGCCATCATGCTGACCAACCAGAAGAATGAAGAAGGGATGACTTTGAAAACTAAAAGAACACCAGACAAAAGATACTTTTCACAGGTACCGTAATTGTGTGTGTAAGTTGTCACCAAACATGATTTGGGTCCACTGTCATTCAAACAAGGAGGTAAAATTCTCTGCTACTTAGCAAAAGAGGCGTCATGGGTTGAAAATGGGAATAAACAGGTCCGGAGAACTCTTCCTCCCTGGGAAGCTCTGTGACTAGCTTCCCATCTGTTGACAGGAAATAATGACACCTGTTCTATTTCTTCGTTGAGTCCTCAGGAGGGAGACATTGGTACCCACTGGGCTGGGGGTCAGGAACTTTGCTCTCCCTCGGTTCACCTTCTCCACAGCTCTCCTGGGTGGCCTTGGCAAGGGATGTGACCACATCTGCCCGGCTCTCCTTATCTGCAAAGCGTGAGTGAGGTTGGGGTGGATGAGTGTAAGCACCTTCCCTCTGTAAAACAGCATTCTTATTAAAGGTGGACCGCGAGATGGAATATGAAGCCTGCTCTGTTACCGGTGTGATTTTATTTGCCTGAATGGGAGAGAAAGGAGGGGAAGAATAGGTTGAGAGGGAATACAAAGTTTACCACTAGAATTATCTGCACATTAACCAAGCCGTGGAAAATGGAAGAAGCTGTGAGGATTTTCTCAATATGCAGAGCACCAGGCAATCACTGACAATAAAATCGTGAATTCAGCAATTCCATGCTGTGTTTTAATTTTCTGGCACTGGTGTGCCCATTATTTAAGCATGCATTTGGATCGATTCCAGCCTGCCCTCGTCACCACAGCTAAGAATGGCGCTGAGGACGCCTCCTCTGGCTCACCCAGCAGGCCCAGGACTCCTGCAAGCTCTGCTCCTCTTGAAGGGTCAGGAAAGGGAGGTGGGACAGCAGACTTTAGAGAGGTCAAGGAAAGCTGGAAGAGAACTGGAAGAAAAAAAATATGAAGGGGTGGGAGAGTAGAGGACAACTGCAGGAAACACTGGGATAGAACTAAGGAGGAGAAGCAGAGAAGGCCATGATTGTAAATGCTTTAAGGATAACGTAAAAGGAGGTGCTTGGTACCAGAGTAAGGCGTGAGAAGAGGGAAGGAGATGGGAACTCACAATGACTCTGAGTCCTCCGTCTCTTCCTCCTCTCTGGTTGGCGAGTAATCAGTGACGGCGTCAGCTCAGCAAATTCAGGATCTGCTACCACATCTGAGCTGAGGCCATGCGTTTACTGGGAGGCCCACAGGCGTTAGCTGAGCAAGGTGGGGTCTTACGGCCTGATCATATTTTTGTCCAGGTTGGAAATCTCCAGAGTGCCCTGTTGGACTGGCTGAGGCTCTCAGAGCTGCTCTGTAGGTAGAAACACTTCCTACCCTATCTTTCTTCCTTCTCACTTAAGATGGTTTTTGTTTTGTTTTGTTTTGTTTTCTTTAAGAGAGATTTTTTGCTATTGGGTGCATAAGCTTGCCAGAGAGACAGAAAGACAGAAAGCAAGAACTCACCCCCCGGGGGGGGCGAATGGCCACTCTACAATCCCTTCTCCTCCATGGTCCTATTGGGATTTTGGACACACACGCACATGTGCCCAGCATGAATTTTAAGCTGCTGGGTCCAGGACTAGAACCATGGCCGACTACATGGGAGTCCAGCGATGTAATCTTTATGTCATCTGCGGGTCCCAGGATGATTAGTTTTATGTGTCAACCTGGGAAGGTATGTAATAAAACACTAATCTAGGAGTTTCCGTGAAGGTACTTTGTAGATGTGCTTAACATCTGTAGTCAGTTGACTGTAAGTCAAATAGAGACCCCTCCAGTGAGTGGGCCTCATCCTACCAGCTGAAGGCCTGAACAGTAAACACTGAGGCTTCCCGGAGAAGAAGGAATTCTGGCTCCGGACTGCAGTATCAACTCTTAGCTGAGTTTCTGGCCTGGCCTGCAGATTTCAGACTCACCAGCCTACATAACTATGAGGTAATTCCTTAAAAAAGAAAAAGAAAAAGAAAAAATCTCCTAAACAGACATCTCTCTATTGGGTCTGTTTCCCTGGAGAACGCTCACCAATATCTCCCTCTTCTTTCATAGGCGTCAGACCTGCATTTGGTGTGAAGACCTTCACATCCCTGCCCCTGTCCCTCACAGCCTGTCTTCCCCAATGTTACCCCTAATAAATCTCTTCCATTTCCAGACCACATCCTCATTGTCACTTGAGGCTCTCTGTCCACAATTGCTAATAGCCATGAGATCGTGGAACACTTGAGTGGGAAAGAAATATGGTGTAAAAACAAGAATGAAAGGAAGGTCGAAGGTCAAGAGAAATATGGGGGCACAGCCAGGAGAAGCACAGAGGAAATGGCCTTTCTATAAATGTGTGGCCATGTCAGATTTGAAAGTTCTCTTAAATAGATAATCTCCCAAGGGTTTTTTCCAAGCAGTGGCATGGAAAGGTACCAGGCAGGAAGGCGGGAAGGCAGACCCGTGCACACTGGTGTTGATCTCATACTTACTTTTACTTATGGGAGAGTCCATCAAAAATGTAAAATTCCCCTTTGCCGATTGCCATCCTCTAAATTACTTTATTTAAGAACGCACACAAAACCAATATTCCTTGCATTTGCTTCAATTATCTCCCCAACTTTTGTAGATTTTTCTGCCTTGCATTTGAACAAAATGAAACTACATTGTAGACACTTCTGGTGTTTTGCTGCTAATGTTTCCCTGTCTGTTTTACTTGTGGTTTCAATCGAGCGGGACAGGTGACCATCGGGGGTGACGTGTATGACATAGTGAAAGCCATGGCACACACAATCCGCTGCACATGGCTCAGAATTAAAGGATGGGAGCTGGGGGCCAGCACATGGCATGGTGGGTGAGTGCTGGATTCCTACATGGCTGACCCTGGTTCAAGTCCTGGACCTATGGCTTGAAACTCACGCTGGGCACATGTGAGTGCATGCCCAAAATCCAAGGAGGAGAATGGAGGAGAAGGGATTGTGGCATGGTCATCTCCTCTAGGGGGTGAGTTTTCACTTTCCCTCTCCCTATCTCTGTCTCCCCAGCAAGAGCATGCACCCTATGGCAAAAAATAAAATAAAATAAAATAAAAATAAATGAAAAGAGTAAGATTCGTTATGCAGATTTAAATCAGTGCCTTTTACATTAATAACAACTTCTAGTGATTTAGAATCATCTATAACTTCCTGGTACAGAGAAGGATGGAGATTACAAAGATATTTCCTTTTTACATATAAATTGCCCTTACAAAAGTGTAAGTTGGACTTCATTTTCTGAGCTTTGCCTGCATCTACAGTTCCTCAAAGTCGTCCACTCAAAATAATCCTTGTGATGCCAGAACAGCCAGGGATGCTGTTTCAGGGAGCTCAAAATCAGGTCCATGGCACTCACCGCCGAGAGACGAGAGCTGGTGAATGAGGAAAGAAAATTATTTAGTGAGAACAGCCCTGGGGAAAGGGTGGACCCAGTCCCTAACCATCTCCACTGCACTGGACAAAATAAAAAGCTTATATAGGAGAAGAAGCAAAGGGCAAGGTCATTGTCTTGGGGCAAAAATGAGAAGACAAGAGGTCACTGTCTCTGGCAGGATCAAAAGGAGAGGGCAGCATGGGGCAATGTCTGCTCGAGGGACAGTCTCCTTTCTGGGCAAGGCCAGGCAGAATGGCCAGTTTCCTTCTATGGGACAGGCTTAGAGGTAAGCAGTGATTAACAAGGCAACGGAAGCAAACTGAATGAGCCAAGACAACTCTTAGATCCCGGTATAGAAGGTAGGAGTGGATTTGTTATGCTTGAGCTAATAAAATCTTCTCAATCAGTCATCTGGGGAGGGGTTGGTGACATTGTTTCTTTCCCCATCTCTAGAGCCAGGCATCTCTAAAGACTCAGCAAGGTTCTTCTTGTTCATTTCCATTAGTTAAACTTAAGGTTTCGACTATGTGAGGAGGTTTCTGCAAGACTCATTGTGAAAGAGGTGAAACACAGTAGTTAAAGACCCATTTTCCTAAGGTTTAATCTACTAAAATGGACTAAATATAATATAGTCACTTTGGTTTCCAATGGCCCTGTTACCCTATAAGGTGGCATATTCCCGTCTGCTACCCCGACATGCTCATCAACACCACACTTCCCATCACCACTGGTGGATTCAAAAAACACACCCACGTGACCAACTGGAAGAAGCACCTTGACTTTGTCGTGAAAGTCACAAACGCAATTTTGTTAATGACTCCGGACCTTCGATCAATTACAGCCAGAGGTTCAATAAATGTTTGTTGCATTGAATGGCCCAATGTTAATTGTCGGTCTCATCCTCAGGTGTTCACAGGAGGGGTGCTTCGCAAGCATAAATGGGATTGACAAAGTGACATTTTTATTCATGTGCACCTAACAAGACGGAAGCCAGAGGAAGCAGAATGAGAAGTGTGGTTAGACGCCAAGTTTGTTCACGCTCATCAGGGGCCAGGGAGGTGGAGGGGATGAAGGGATCGATGCCTCAGAGCCCACGATTAATGCAGCTGGTTAATGTATTAACAGCGGCCCCGGGGTCTCAGAGCAGCCCTCTCAGCCTCTCTTCTAACAGCAACCACACAGGTCCCTAAGAGCCGGGAATGGCAACACAACACAACCCAATTCCACACAGGATTAACGTGGAGGTGCAGTCACTTGTGCCCCGTGAGACTTTACTACTGAGCTGCCATTGCACACCTCTTTGGATAAGAAAGCCAACATGCCAATTAAAAGCCTGACTTTGCAGTGGGACAATGGGATAGAATGTGGGTTCCATTCTTTCCCAGCTGAACAAAAGCAGTGGATCTGCTCCCGGAGCCCCTGAGACTGTCAGGCGGTGCAGCCCTTTTGAATGGGCGCGGCCGGCACACACACTTCCCAGCTATAACACACTGGCTGGGTAGGTAACGAAAGGGGAGTACATGGTGATGAATCGGATTTGCAGTTTGGCTGTTCAGGGTGCAGGAGGGCCTCAAAGAACAGCCAAGTGACCTTATTCCATTTGTATCACTTGTTAACCCAAATCGTCGGTGACTTTCGGAACAATTACTGCCTTCCTGACACAGTGAGTCTGGAGCCTTCCCCCTTTGCATTATTAATCAAGTTCACGCAGCCTTACTTAGCAGGTTATGATGTGCGCTTACTCGCAGACTCTGCAGCGAACAAATTAAAGAGGCTTGCTCCACTCTAGGAAAATCCCGCTGTTCAGCCTATTCATTTCCCCTAAATGCTTCTCCACTTCAAATTGACATTCCAGCCATGTTGCATATGTTTTTAAAAACCATCGTAGAGGTCAGTAATGTTAAACCCTTACCCATGACAACAATTTACTCTCGACGCCTGTGTACATATGCAGAGGAGATACACACACACAGTGCGCGTGTGACCGCACACACGCCATCCCTTTGGTGTCTCTGGGCATTGTGGAGTCTCCCTGCCCATTGTGTTTCAGCCTTTTACGGGCCGCCTCTTTCTCCTGTGAAGAGAGATTACAAATACAATCCTAGAATTGCAAATAGAATGGTGGATGCCTTTTTGTTCGCCTTCCTGTCCAAGTTGTTACAACCTTTGTCATGGTAATGAGCCATCAGAATTTCATAGCCTGAATATTCTCCCCACTCCTATAGCGCATTGTGTGCCTAAATTTGGATGAGTTGATGGTCTCTCTCCCTGCTCTGCTTGTGGATAAAGACAGCTGGAAAAGTTGACCTGTTTTAAGACAACCAAGTGTTCTCAAAAAAAAAAAAAAGTACAGAGTTTATTGGTGTCTAGAAGGGTCCAGACTGCAGCACAGCAAATCACCAGAGGGTGTCTAGAAATGTGAAAATAAAATACCTCCCTGCCAAGTTTTTCCATTGGATAATGAACCAGATAGAAGGGTTTTCTACCCTAGCTGAGATTTCCCCAATCATGACAGAGCAGCCTTTATCATTCATGCAGGGGATGTGTGTTAAGCACCTACTCAGTGCTAAGCAGTAGCTTCATTGCCCCCTGGCAGGCCTGGACCACGAAGGGACACCTTTGTATGTATTAACGCCAGTGCGCAGGCCCAGAACATTGGGTTTGAAACAGAAGAGGAACTCTCCAAAAAAGAGTGGGCTTCAGTTTTGCTTTCTGTTGAGGAAAAAAGGAAAATTCGCCAAATTGAAAATCAATAAAGACCAAACTCAAAGTAAAACATCTTTCCAAGGAGCTTGGCATGCAAAGTTCATTGACATTTTAATTTTATTTATTTCTTTATTTGGAGATGTTTTTGCTATAGGGCGTGTACACTTACCGGAAATACAGAGAAGGACAGAGAGACAGAAAGTGAGAAATGACCTCCCAGGGGGATGGCCATGCCGCAATTCCTTCTCCTCCATTCTCCTTTTGGGATCTTGGGCATGCATGCACACATGCCCAGTGTGAGTTTAAGCCACCGGGTCAGGCTGCAGTCAACTAAATGGGAGTCCAGTGACATAGCCATTATGCCAACTGCTGGTCCCAGGTCTTAAGACTTGTAAACTTCCTGGCCTTTTGAGCCATTCTTCCTCTGGCCTCTCAGGCCCGCTTCTGCCTTTTGGAAGTGCACTTTCTCTTTTACTTAAAGAACTACCTTTTCCTTTTGCTATTGGCATGTTTTGTGACTGAAACACAAAGAACCTAATATCACAGCGGCCATCCTGCAACTTCTATTGTGACAAGTCAGGGCAGGAGGTGAGCTCCTACCTGGGGCCTCCTGTAGTCTGTTCCTTAAACTCTTGGTCATTTTCATCTTCATTTCCATTGAGTCTCTCAGTCAAAGTGGGCCAACAAAGATGGGATTGATAGCTCTTGGTATGGACAACTCACACAGGGCTAGAAACTGCTTCTGGAATGTCCTGTTAAGGCCTTAAGCCCCTAGGGGTGAGAAAGTTGATGTCCCAGGTGCACGATCACTTCAATGATTGGTTCAAGAGGGCATGGTCATCTCAGGAGCCTTCTTGATTGGTAGGATCTTAGATAATCAATTTCCACTCTGGGAGGAGACAGGCAATCTAAGGCCTTCCCTGCATGTTCGGCCACTATCCTTGTTTTGTGCATAGCGATAAAGCTTCCTCCCAACTTATGCCTGCAGTGTGGTCAGTGGTGTTGGGTAAGAAAACCTGGTCTGGGACCAGCAGTTAGCATAATGGCTATGTCATTGGACTCCCATGCGGTCAACCATGGTTCGAGTTCAGTAACAGGTTCATCTCTATACTTGTCAATACAGCTCTTGGATCAAATTCCACCAATAACCCCTCATTTGTAATAGCTACTACGCTGGTGATCCAGCCACTGACTTCACCCGTGAGTACCTAGTACCACTCATCTCTGACTTTGGCCAGTGTGAACACTGGCTGAAGAGAGATTCTGAAATGGTAAACGCCTGGCCAGGCCACTCCTTCACTTAGGCTGCGACTTGAGCTCACACACACACACACACACACACACACACGGCATCGCATTATTGATGCCACCGTATTTCAAAGCCAATTATGGACATCTTAACCGCGTATGAGGTGACCCAATCTGTATTTGATTTCTGACATGCATGAATAATTTATTCCACCAATATTGCATCAAAACTGTGTCCCGGTAATTAGATGAGGGTTTCAGTGACAAAGCAGAAACTGTTGGGGTGGGTGGTCTGTGAGGTTATGGCGCATAAAAGAGCTTTTCATTCCTCCAGCAGATGGGGTCCCTTAAGGATAAAAGAGGCTGAGAGCCACTTGAATTGGCCTCAGGGCCATAAGCGACAGACACCCAGTGCTGGCTGTGGTTAAGTTTCAGTAAAATGCCGAGCACAAAGCCTGGCGCTGAGCACCTGCTGACTACCTGGGAGGGCCCTTCCTCCTCGGGCTGGGTGTGTGGGAGAAACCGAGTCCCTCTCCAAGCAGATAAAAGTTTCTGTTATGGGATTTGTCTGAATTTGTAGGGGAAATTGTTGGGGAAGCCTAGAATAGAACTTCCAGCCCTTGGGCTGTTCGATTTCTTTCTTTCTTTCTTTTTTTAAAGATTATTTAATTTTATTTATTCATTCGTTTATTCCAATTTGACTAGAGAGAGACAGAGAGAAAGCAAGAAAGCAAGCTACCAGGTCCAGGACTCGAACTGTGGTCGGCTACATGGGTTTGCCTAGTGCTTTAACCACCATGCCAGCTGCTAGTTGCCTGGATACCTCTTTTTCCTGGGATGTCTGCCCTCCTCCTCTGCAGACCCCTTTACCAAGAGAGAGTTTCTCAAGGAAAGTGAGAGCTCTGATGGTTTTCAAATAGCTAGCTCCTCTCAAAATGCACTGGAGCTTGGGCCCAGCAGGTGGCATGGTGGTTAAGGTGCTGGAATTCCCACGTGGCTGTCCATGGTTCAAGTCCCGAACTTGGTGGCTTGCTTTCTCCCTCTCCCTCTCTCTGTCACTCTTCCTCTGGCAAAACCCATGTGAAAAAATAATAAATAAAATAATTAAAAAAAAAACAACTATTTTAAAAAATGCACTGGAGCTCATGTTTTCAGTTTCCAAGTAGGTAAACAGAAAGGCCTGCTTTCTTCCCTTTTTTCCTTCCCTCCTTCCTCTCTTCCCTCCTTACGTTATCCCTTTCTTATTATCTTGTCACCTAAGGGTGGGGCATGGGGGGAAAGAAAGAAAAAGAAAAATACCTGCAAAGTGTTTTGCATTGTGTGTGTGTGTGTGTGTGTGTGTGTGTGTGTTGGGGCATAGAGGTGGCAGGGATTAGGGACTATATCAGGAGGAGCCCATACTCAACTAATTCTAAAAATAATTCTTTTTTATTTTTTAATTGCCAGAGGGTGCATGCACTTGTGGGGTGGGAGAGAAAGCCTTCCTTGTGGCATGGTCATCCCACCATCCCTTCTCCAGTTTGCCACCCTTTCAGGATTTGGGGCACACACATGCACCCAGCATGGTTTTCAAGTCTGGGGCCAGGATTCGAACTGAAGTCAACTATGTGGGATCTGGTTCTCTTAACCATTATTCAGTCCTACAGAATAATAAATTAGAACCTTAGAAAACTCTGAAACATGGCTAGCATGGCATTGTTTTCATGTCCTTAGAAAGACTCGTGCACTGGGACTAGCAGTTGGCGTAATGGCCACGTCTCTGGACTCCCATGTAGTTGACCGTGGTTTGAGTCCCGGACCTGGTGTTTTAAACTCACTCTGGGCGCATATGCGTGCGTGCCCAAGATCCTGAGAGCAGAATGGAGGAGAAGGGATTGCAGCATGGCCATCCCCCATGAGGGTGCTTTCTCTCTTTCTGTCTCTGTCTCCTTCTGTCTTTCTGGAGAGCGTATGTGCCTTATAGCAAATACCTCTAAAAAATAAATAATAATAGAGACATCTTCACGTGGCCAGATGGTCAAAGGACCGGAAGACTGAGCTTGCGGAAGACTGAGCTTGCTCTGACCACGCCCTCCTGAATCACTGGACAAGAACCATTGCATTGTTATTCCACGAGGTCGGGGCTGCTAGGCTGTTCCCGATATTTGCTCACACAGGGCCCTGGCCTGGAGAAAACTGTCCTTTCTCACCTCTCCTATCCAGTACTCTGGGCAGCTCCACTCCCTGCAGAGAGGCAACTCCTGATTTGCTCAGAAGTTTCTCAAAAGCGACAGCTCAAATAGTCCTGACGATTTGCTAGATGAACAATGATCGCTTTAACCTCCTAATTAACATTGTTAACATCTGCTAACAAAGGACATCTAACAATATCTTAATGAGGAGGGATTTCCAATTTGTGACAGGGGCATGTTACACAAACAGGGCCCCATTCTTCCTTTGTTCCTGGGCTCAGCAGCCAGAGAGATTACAGATATGACACCAGAGCTGCGTTTGCTGTTGATCATTCTATATCCTTACACGTGTACGCGACATAATTAGTGTCTTGGCTAATGTTACCTGTGTTATTGTTTGCACTGTAATTTGGAGAGAATAGAGTGGGTGATGAGGGTGATTTAGATCGGGGCAGGCATCTGCTCTCTGGTTTTCCTTCCTACTTACTGACTGTAGCTACTGAACAAACGCCCGCAGGAGAAAACCTGCAGCAGAAAAAGCAAACGTTCTGGGGCCTGTGGTTGGGGATGATGGGTGTATACGAGGAATAGCCTTTGGGTCGTTCCAAACAAACATGGGCGTGACTAACCATCTTGATCCTCATTCCTTTTCCAAGCTCTTATAACTTGTTTTAAAAGCTATTATCTATCACTTAATTATTAAAAAGTGTCTACTCTGTTTTCATAAATTATCTATGTGTTAGAGATAGCAGCATATGAGAGAGAGATTCATGGGGGAGAGGGAGGTTCCAAAGCCAATTATCCCAGCTGGGAAGGTTTTAGAACAACATGGGATCCTTAAATTATTCTATACTAGATCATAAAAGATGTGCATGTTTGGTTAGGTGAGTGGTGAAAGGGGAGAAAGAAGGGGTAGAATTTGTAATAATCCCTGATTCTTCATCCTCATCTATCTTAAAGACATCCTTGTCACTGGGTCTATTTCTTTGAGTCTTAACTTCTTTATCCTGAAGACAGAATTCATATTGGGAAGAATGAACTTCGGATGTTATTTGGAATTACCATTTAAATAAACTACATCATCCAAACTATGAAGAAACACAGGAAAAATACTTAATAACATCTCTGGCAAAAGTTAATATTCAACAAATTGTAGCTATGATAAACAATATCATATTATAAAGTTATATATAATATACGATGACATTGAAAATACATTACCCAATTGATAGTGTTATATATAGTACATGATATATGCATACATAGGAGAGGGGCAGACTTCCCCCCCAGCCTCCTAGATTCAACAAGGCTAGGCAATTAACTGACAATGGGCAGATTAACATGAGAAAAGGTATTACACATTTATTATGTGCATAGGCTGTCTCAGTGAAACCTGAAAAATGGTGAGATTTGGGAAATTATATACCATCTTCATAGGAGAAAACTTGAAGGCAGGGGTCGACAACATAGGAAAGAGTAAATTTTTTTTAGGAAAGATGAATGGACCCATAGACTAGATGGTAGATATGATAGTTTGTGACAAAGTTTGCCCGGGGGTGTGCCTTGGCACGATTTTTGTCACTATAACAGAATACCACACACAGGGTAATTTATGAAGAACAGAAAGCTATTTTTCACAGTTCTGGAGACTTGAAAGCTCAGGATCAAGGTGCTGGCATCTGTTTTTTGGTGATGGTCTTCTTGCTGCATCCTCACATGGGGTAATGGCAAGAGAGACTAACTCCCTGCAGTATGCCCTTTTATAAGGGCATCTAATTGCATTCAGGAGGAAATAGTTCTCATACCTCAGTTACCTTTTGAAGTCCTACCTCTTAATACCATCACACCAGCAACATTCAAATCATAGTAGAGTGGTGTTGATGTCCAGTCTCCTGTCCTGTGACAAGAGAGAACTTTCCCTAGTTAATGGAACTGTTGAGTTCTTTTTGGAGGAACTATCTTTCAGTAGGTAATGGAAATTTAGAGAAAGTCTTTCTATGCATTTGCTGTTTCACAAGTGCCTTCAGCTCAAAATAATCAATATGCCAAGGTGACATATTTGGGGTGGCATGTCCTAACTCCTTCACGTGTAATATGTAATATAATCAGATGTTCAGAATCTATTTCTTTCTTTTTTTTTTTAAAAAAAAAGATATTAACTCTTAAAAAATTATCTATTTATTTATTTATGTATTATCATTATTATTTCTGAATTCACCAAAGAGAGACAGAGAGAGGGTAAGAGGGAAAATGAGAAAGCAAGCCGCCAGGTCTGAAACTTAAACCACAGTTGACCATGTGGGAGTCCAGTGCCTTAACCACCATTCTACCTGTGGCCCAGTTCAGGATCTATTTCTATACACTGATCTGAGCTATCAAATGGTCTCTTCCCTGAAGTCATTAGGACACAGGCCAGAGGTGTGACTTCCTCCTCCCAGCTTACCAGGCAGAACCACCAAGAATCATCCAGCAAGATAGAAGATAAAATAAAACAAAGTAAAAAACTTTTCAGTGGGAGAACTTGTGGTCTGAGCTCATGTTGAAAAGCTGCCAACCTTGAATTGGTGCTATAGTTTGAATGTGTCCCCTGAAAATTCTTGTATTGAGCCACTGGAACAGGATTAAGAGGGTAAAACCTTGATCCAATTATGGTGTTGAAGGGTAGGGCCTTTGGGAGCAGATTAGTGACTGGGTGCTCAGGGCAAAGCCCTCACAAATGAGTCCTGATGAGTTTAGAAGGAGAAGAAACGAGAGAAAGGAGCTCACAGCCAATCCTGCTTTATTTGCTTGCACCCCGAATCCTCTGCTTCTGCGAACAGGTGTTTCTGCTGGCCATGTTGTGAAGTAGCTGGCGTGGTGCTTTATTCTCTATAAGTCACCCAGTCCAGGACATTCCATAGGCATCACAATAATGGACTAAGACAGTGGCATTTATTCCTTCTGCCTCCACTCCTGCCCCTCACCCCCCAAAAAAAAGCATGCCGTGTTTATCTTGGGCCAGGAGAGCTTTACTGACAAGGATGCTGTAGAGACGATGTAAAGATAGAAGCATGTTACAGACACCTTTTTCTCTCTCTTACACACACACACACACAAACAACTTTATGAAAGTTTTTGATTACTCCTAGCATCTGTTAAAGGAAAAATAATATTCTGAGACTTATTAAAGACAGTAAAGGAGGTTCTTCAAGAAAGGACTGCCCTGCAGGAGGGGAGAGAGATGGAGCTCGATTCCACCTACAACAAGGAAAGTGGGGATTTCCATATAACCAAGGAAGATGGCAGTAGTTGGTGAATGGAAAGTATTAAGAAGAGACCTAAAGGGTAGGAAGGATTCTTGCTAACTTGACCTAACAAGATTCTTGCTGAAGACAGGCAAGAGCTGTCAGTCTCTACCTGAGGGAAAATGGTGGATGAAGAATCCAGTAGTACACAGAGTGTGATTGGATATGGAAGATAGAGGATTCTTGGACTTGACAAAATTCTTGCTGAGACTGGGTGGTGTAGGCCCAACAGGGAAGACACTGAGGGTCAAAGTCTGCAGAGTTTGGGAGTCTGACTAAAGTTTGGTAATGGCCAGTATCCTTGTCATACCATGTGCCTTCTCCCATCTCTGCTACCTTTAAACACACGCATCATACACCAGGTTGACTTAATATATCACTACTGGGCCGCATTAGGTCATCTTTGGATATTATTATTTCCATTATTTTATACATTCGATGGCTATACACCATTTGGCTTGTAAAGAGAATTTACCCAACATGAAATACATCTCAGACCAGTCCAGTTGAGAATACTATACACATTATCATCAACAAGTAATGTACCATTTCTGTGTCCCACAAACATCTCGCCTTTGTATTTTTTCTCCCTGATTTCTTTCC